CCCCCACCCTCCTTTTAAGGAAGAGAGAAGAGCCCTTACGGGGTAGGGGTTACATGTTTCACTGCTGACCACAAGATCAGCAGTTAGAAACCACCAGCTGTTCTTTGGGGGAAAGAATAGACTTTCTACTCCAGGAACAGTTGCCATATTCAAATGTACAAACTCTGCTTCAGTCTTCCTTATTAAATATCCAACTTCTACATTCATATGAGGCAACTGAAAGTACCATGCTTTGGGTTAAGTGTACCTTAGTCCTCAAAGTAACATGCTTGCTTACGGTGCAGGTGAAGACTATTGAAAATGCCCTCGACTGCCAAAAGAAAAATCACATTTGTCTTGGAAGAGGTAGTCAGAATGTTCAGTGTTGTCAGGAAAGACCAGTCCCTGGAGGAGGACATCACGCTTGGTAGAGGAGAAGGGCAAAAGAGAGCGACCTTGACAAGATGGATTAGCACAGTGGCTGCATCGATGGGCTCAAACATAAGAATGACTGTTTCCATCTGTTTCACCCACGGATGCTGTGAGTTTGAGATGACTCGATGGACGCCTAGCAACAAAGAGTGACCCTCTGAGAACCCCCCGGGGGAGTTCCACCTCATCCTGATAGGGTCACTAGGAATCAGCCTCACCAGGTCAGTGGGTTTGGATTTTGGATAAGGAAGAAAATACAAATAAAGAATATTTATGAAGTGTTGGAAAGTATATCCTCAAGTGTTGCTTTCCATACTGGGGAAGTACATTACAAAGGATACCTAAGCATTGATGGAAGGGACATAAATTCTATGATTAACTTTCAGATGGACATCTTAGTAAAACGGTTTTCCTGAGAGAGCAATTAAACTGGGGAGCCAAACTTAGCACCCCAAAATAAGTTAACTTAGTACAGTGAATGATTACGTCATAAGGAGTAGGAAGAGATAAACAACTTTTATTAAAATACCATTTCTTCACAAATTTTTACAGTTAATCTGCCATATTTACATGAATTTACAGCCTTCTTCATACTACATCCTTTAAAATATTCACACATGAACATGTTCATCATTGCTAATATGGTTATTTTTTGTAATAACACTGATAAAAAGGGAGAAAAAAATTACAGTTCTCTTTTCACTAGAGATAAAAACTTACAAAGATAAAAATAGTAGCAATAACATTTGCATGCCATTTTGTTACTTATTTATTCATCCTGAGGCCTTAAAAAGTATTCGTATCTCTATTTTATGAATGAGGAACCTGGGCAAGCCAGTGCTATCTATGTAGTATAAGCAAAATTAGGACAAAACCCTGGGGAATATGAGGTCTGTGCTTCAGAACTCTATTAAACTGATGTGAAAATTTGATAAACTTGCTAAAGCACGTTCTATATTTTTTAGAATACATAGTTGAGATGATAAGCCCACTTCAAAGGTGAAAAATCTATCTTAATTTTGGCTCTGAAAGCAAGGTAAGTATGATGCATAAAATGGATTTTCTTTTCAGAACTTTGTAAAATGTTAATTCCCTGTCTCCAAGGTGTTTAAAGAAACTTTCGAGTGCTCCTCAAGGCAATGACCTGTGCCTTCCAAAGGTGCAGCAGAATTCACGTCTAGATAAAGGGAGAAAGAAGAATCGTGTTAAGTCACTGGTCTGTTTCATGGCTGGGGCTGGGTACTGTTAATAGCAGTTCCAACTCACCATCCCGGGGTGGTCGAGTATGAGACATGAAGCCATGTGAGTAGAGAGGTATGTGGTTTAAGGCGTACCTAGAGTCTGGTGCCAAACTGGGCATTGCAATATTTTAAGTTCTTTCTTAAGTAGAAGACAAACAAAAAAATGTAGGAGAATCTCATGATTTATGTGATTGCCTTAGTCAAGCTTGTGCTATATGCCACTATGCCATGTCGTATTATGAGTGGCAAAAGCTTTATAATTGTATGAACTTGAATGAAAGAGAGAACTGTAACAACTAGGTTAGCGTGTATTGAGAAAAAGGGTTGGGGGAAACTGATACGGGAATTGAGGGAAAAGATGTGACTGCAAAATGCCTAAAAATAGCATAGATGATATAATGACTTTTATGCAAAATATAATCATATACACAAGGTGTTTTCAAAAGGTGAAAAAAATCCCATCGTCATCTAATTCAATTTTTCCAAGAACTCTTTGAAGTCTCACGGTATCAGATGATCACGTATATGTGAAATGTTGTGTACGGATCTGTTTTTACTGAATAAAAATGTTTTCTCTCCTCTCTGATTGGTCATTTCAAATCTGGAACGTATCATTACCAAGAAAACAAGATCCCTTCCAAATATCTTTGTGAGGGTTTCAAAGCCTTGTACTAGGCCTGACTAGTACAGATTTTCAAATGGCAGTTATGTTGAGATTTGTAAAATCTGGAGATTTGTAAAGATACAAGGATCTGTTTTATAAACCTGAGCTACTACGTTCAAAGAAACTACCTTTTAAATTTTGTGCCCAGATGATTTTGATGCAAGATGAACCACACTTTTGAGAAATACTGGGCTAGGCATTCTGTATTCTTGCATGGAAAATCCATCTTGAAAATTTCCCGAATCAGCTCCACCCACATTAAACACACAAAAAGTGGTCCTTTTTAATTACATGGCAAATATCAGCTTGGAAAGCGTATTTGGTATCTAGGATAAATGAATTCAACAAATGTTGAGTATTAGGTAAAAGCTACTAAAAATCTCATACACCTTCACTTATTAGGAAATCAAAGAAGAGGAAAAATTAATAAACCAAAGAAATCTAATAAGAAAAGATGTAATATTATTATAATCACATTTTATAAACTTTATTTGGTCTGTACATTTTGGTGAAATATATTTGAAAATTCTCAAAGGGACAAGCAGGTAGATTCTAACTAGGCAACTCAGGGGTACTTCACAAGTTTATCCTTTTAGTCAAAGATGACTTGGTACACTGAATTGCAAATGAGGAGCACCCTTGACAGCCCTATTTGCTTCTCTATAGTCTTGCTTCCAAATCTTGCTTGGTCTCTGTAGGCTTGTTCTTAAGTGAAAACAGCAGGTACATTCAGGAAAAAAAGCAATTGTTTGCCCTGTGTAAAAAGAACAAAGCCATTACAGAAAACTGTGCCTTAGGCACCCATAATTTCAGTGTTACAAAAATCTAAATTGCCATTATTACTAGAACAACGAGGGACAGGCTAATTTATACCCAAAGCTAGTTTATTGTTTGTATTCACTTTCATTATCTAAATCGAAACAGTGCAAATGAGGTAGTTACTATAATCCTGCCGTCTCCTGCTGTGAGACTGGTAAAGAGGCAATGCTAACAATGGAGAAGACTATAGTTTTAGTAAATAAAATGTAAAAGTCCCGTCTTTTCCTATTTCCCAATTGCTGAAATTCTGATCATCACAGTGAATGCACCCCGTGCTCGAGAGAAATCCTCCAGGTAAGCTGAGGCCGCTCCTTCTGCTTCTCCATCTGCTGGGCTGTTAACACGAAGACATATTGACAAGGGCTCAGAGAAAACATGGACCATTTCATCAGTACGATTATGCTCCCCTAGAGACAGATGTTAGAAAGCTGTAATATTTAAAAATAAAGAGATAAACACATGCTTGAGGGGCAAGAATGAAATAGTTTTAGAGTTGAGAAATTAAAAAAAGATGGAACTGTGCAGATGAGAGGTTTGTGTTGGCACAAAAAATGGCCCATCCTTATTGTGTGGGGAAAATTCTTCTATATCTACCTCAAGCAGTTATTGACAATTAGATGGATACTCTTCCAGTGCCTGACTCTGGGCGTGCAAGAGGTGCTTAGCGGGGGTATGAGCCCAGAGAACACTCTGTCATCAGACGGCGAATGGCAGGGCTGTGGCGCGAATCCGCATACACTGCTTTCAAAAAATTTGAAACATGAAAAATGTCATGCACTATAGCAATTCACATTCAGCTAACATAAGACATTATTAACTAATAATAACTCTGGATTTATCTAGTGACGTCACTGCAGAGATGAAAATACTTTGCTCCACTTATTTTTACCAGAGGAAAACGTAAAAGGGGACTATAATGGTAGGTTATGTACGTATTTACAATGGTGCCTATATACATAAATACATATGTAGCTGCTGTACATTAAGTCAACATTTAACATTCTTTGATCAGTAGATTCTCTTTTGCTGAAGTTGTCTTGTTTTTTGTGAAAAAATAAAATGAAGCGTGGCAATAGAAAAGTGGAAGAAATTTTAGCTTCAACTTCAGGCTGACTGGGGCTTAGAACATGGATGTGTCCTTCACTTCTTGGAACTTGTTTCTTCTAATAGGAATAAAATATCTACTTCACAGTAATGCTGAGATTAACCATAATAAACATCAAGGTCCTGACATTGTATCTGAGCATTGTTGGCACCTAATGATGGACACGTCACGTCATTATTAAGAAGCCAAACCAAATAAAGCACCACACTGATACAAACAGGCAGCTCAGAGCATCCGATTTAATGACTGGGTGGCCTTTTCAAAGTCCCCGAGTTCGGAGCGCAGAAGTCCACGGCTTATCACTTTCCCCCCAGGCAAATAAAAAGAAAACCTCCTCAGAACAGGGAAAGCGGTCCAGAGAGAGCAAACGGAAACAGAGTAGCTCGACTGGAAAAGAGAAAGGCGGGAGACGGACAGGCAGGAGGAGGAGGACACGACGGTCCTGACTCCCCTGGAAGGATGAAAACCCAGACGATGGACGGCAACACCTCAAAGCCCAGGAGCTCCAGTTTGCTGCTTGTGGCTTGGCATTCTAGGAAGAGACAGCTTGCAAAAAGCCACAGCCAATAGTCGGTCATCACACGACCAATGCAATGGTGGTATGGTGTGAGCAGGAAGAGGGAGGGTCTGTAACGGCAGTCCTCTTGGGCTCGTGTGTCCAGCATTCCCTCAGGATCCCACGGGGCATGTGGAAGGCTGTCCAAGTCCAGAGTGAAAAGCTGTTGAGGCGCACCACAGAGCAGAGGCTGCATAAGCCAGGGTTCAAAGGCCGATGTGGCTGAGACGGGGAGGACCTACAATGCTGCTGTGGAGGGAAAAGAAAACAAGTGAGCAAGCGAGGACTACAGGCGCCGACCAAGCTGAAAGAAGAGACTATGACTTGAACCGCCAACAGACATCAGTACCAGATAACATAATACCCCATCACCAGTGTATAGACCTATCTCAATGGACGCCGGTGAGAATTTGGGTAACAGCACAAAGAATCACCCGTGGTTCTGGGAGTCTCTTTCCTCCTCACCATGAGGGCCCCTGTATGTTTTTTCTGGTACACCAAGGCCAATTATGCCAAGGAGAATGGGACAGAGTGAACGGCAGATTTATCCCAAAGAGTCTATTTGAAACCTAAAGAAATTGAGACACTTTTGCTTGATTATCTTCAAAGTCCATTTCATTCTAGCCTACCCAACAGGAAGTGTATTTCAGTACTAGAGAAATTAAAGATCTTTGTCCACTCGTGGTTTGTTAGATGTGATGTTAACAATTCCCTACTCCTACTTCTTTTCTGTGAGAGTTGGAGATGAAAACAAAAAAGAGCATGATTTTTAATCCATAATGTAAAAGTGAATTAGATAGTGTCTTATATACATTAATTTCCTTCTTTCTCTCTTTTTGTTTGTCCAGGCATTCAATCATTCATTTGTTCAGCTAACAAATATTTTCTGACTACCAATCATAAACCAACAATGTACTGGTATTGAGATAAATGAGACCTGGATCTTATCCTTAATTAAGTTAGACGTTTGCAGGATGAGCATGGATGGATTATTTAAGTTAAAGAAAAAACTGGTAGAGTGTTACTGTCCAGTACTGAGTAACTGCAGGACAAACAAAAGCAGTACAACTAGATTCGTGGACTATTCTTTTCTCATCTGTCACATATGCAGAGAAGTTGCCATAAGAAAGAGATTTATTATTATGCCAGAACAGTCAAACAGCATTTTTATCCAGAAGCCATCATTACAGAAAAGTCTATTTCCATGTTAACACTAAATCGGGTTGCAGGATAGAGTCAGAGATATGTAATATAAAATCATATTTTTCAAAAAGTGTATGTGCTCTAACATAAGAGGAATAAAATACAGAGAGATGAGTCAAGAAAACCATCGTTACCCTTTCAACTGGTCATGCAATAGTTATACAGAAACCAGATGTTATATAACTTCATTTTCTCAGAAAAAATATTTAAAGACATCATAATAAGCAACCTAGGATAGTTTGCTACTTTAGGTTTAAAAATCTTGCAGAAAGTACAGATTCTTCTTAAAATAAGGACATCATAGCCCTTAATTAATCAACTTAGTAAAACTCCAATTTTGTTATTTCGCAGGGTCTTTTCAAGGGAGAGAAGAAGCCTGTGGAATATCTAATTGACAACACGTCTTTATGAACAGAAAACAATGTTTTGCGGCTTCACTTAGGCAAACAAAGCTATGATGTTCTCAGGATCTCTGCCAGAAATGGTTTTACTCTGCCTCTTTGGGACCATGGCCCAATGCTCAGTATGTCTTCTTTATTTCTTCCACCGCACAGCTCAGTAGGCTTCCGACACTGTAGCAGAGACACTGGAAGGATTTGGAACATACCTCTGCTTTTTTCAGTTTCCTCTGACAAAGTCGTTATCTCAGTCATCATAAGGTATATGGCACACTGACTGAAAGGTGACGCTGTTACAGACTATAAATAATTCAACAAATAGTAATTCTCTCTGATTAGTATTTCAAAACAATATCTTATCTCTTCCCAACCCCCTCTTTATAGAGTGCAGTTGCATTTGAAATCTATGGTTTCTGGCATATCTGGGGTAAGGTTATACTAGGAATTTACCAGACCTGTCAGTCTCTAACTTTCTTCCATATTTCATTATATCATTCCAGTTATAATTAGTTGTCTGGTAAAATTAAGAACAGTCTATTTCAGTGAATTCTCATGTGAACATTTAACAACTTTTTGTTAGGATGACAGCTAGCGACAGAAAGAATAAACCAGAAATGGAGAGTTACTGAAGTAACCTTAGTTAACTTAATATTGCCAGCTCAAGTGAAAACTCTAAGATTTTGTATTTTTTTCTTATTAATCATCAAGCACATATTTCTTGTCAGGAGATGAGCAGCCGCAGTTTGATAGCACTGCTGCCTCAACCAGCATGTTGTGAACTGACCTGTCTTTATTGCTATGCCTCCTGAGAAACTTGGCCTTTGTTGAGTGTGGAGTCAGTTGCTTTGACATTCAGCTTGTCAGTGAAAGCTATTTTAATCATTAAGATGCATCTCCCTTCCAAGATTTCAAACTGTTGCTGCTCATACACAAAATTCTATCATTTGACTGCTGGGGCGAATAAGCGAACTTGAATAGATGTTATTATTAGAGATTATATTAAGCACTGAAAATTACAAAATCCATAGCGCTATGAAATATAGATAGTTCCTAACATCTCATGTATTGAGAGTTATGGTAGGCCACATTAATAACACTTTTTTTCCCATATAACTTGAGAAGCAGGGTACGTCATCGTAAAAGCTGTGAGTATATATGTCATATTTCCAACCTCAAGACTGGATCTATAAATACTGTTAACAAGCGTAGTAAGAATGAAAAAAATAATCAAGAGGTATTCATTTTACATCAGACCCAATTCACGACAGTCACTGGAATGAACCTGTATATTGGAGACTACCTCTATTTTCCAGATTATCCTATTTAAACCTTGGGGTCTAGATGGCAAGCACCCTTGTTTATGCCTTGGTTTCTTCCCATGTAAAATAGGATATTGGTTACCTACCTCAGAGGGCTATTAGTGAGGATTAAATGAGACAATCCACAAACAGTTCTTAGAACAGTACAAGTAACATGGTGATGTATGTTAGTTATTTTTAACACTATGTAATAATAGATGAAAACACTACGCTTGTTTAATTTCTTGGCTAATTTCTTTAACCAACTGTCCTACTAACCCTCAACTTTACTGTCTCTAGTCCCCATACCTGAAAGTGTAACTAAGGAAAAATGAGATTTCTTTCAAGTGGCCTTGAGCTGAACAGCCAGGAGTGTCACAAATGTTCAAGTTATTACTTCAATAGTTGTATGTGTTATCAAGTAGATACCAGACCAGAGCGACCAGGTTAAGAGGAGGGTTTTCCAAGACTGTAATCTGACACACAGTCCTGGTGGTGTCATGGTCACACATTGGGTTCGAACCCCAAGGTCAGCATTTCAAAACCACCAACCTCTCCATGGGGAGAAAGTCAGGGCTTTCCACGGCCATAAGCAGTGCTCCCTTAAACAGTTGGCATTGACTTCATGGCAGTGAGTGAGTAATTTGACACAGTGGTTAAAGAGCTAAGCTGCTAATCCCTTGCTGCTTGGTGGGAGCCAAAGATGGCAATTTGCTCTTCTAACCGTGGAAACCCCATGGGGCGGGTCTACTCTATACTACAGGGTTGTTATGAATCAGAACTGATTTGGCAGTGGTGGGTTTGACTTTTTGGACTTAGCCTTTTTTCGTCATAGTCTTTTCCCATTCAGTTGATCTGTTTTGTGTCCTTTGAGACATCTATTAAAATTATGTTTTTGACAGCAGTCTGTATAAAACATAAAAAATTTATAAATTAAAGGGTTCACAAGGGAGGGAAAAATGAGCTGATACCAAGGGCTCAAGAAGAAAGAAAATATTTTGAAAATGATGATGACAACATATGTACAAATATGCTTGAAAGAATGTATGGATGTATGGATTGTATTAAGAGCTGTAAAAGCCCCCAATACAATTATTTTTTTAAAATAATAAAAGTAGAAGCTTGTGGAAGAAAAAAAAATGTCTTTGAGATCTCACAAATCAATATCAATATCAATATCAAGATCTCACTATATGCTACAGCAAAATGTGGCATCGAAACTAGATGGTGCCTTGGTATCCTAAAGAGTAGTGTCTGGGGTCTTAAAGGCTGGTTTTCAAACCAGCAGCCAGCTAAGTGATCTTAAATTGTAAACAGCTAGTTTGCAGAAGCCTATGGACCGCAGTGGAAACCCAAGATCAGTTTGCAGGGTCCACAGATAGATTAAGCCTCGATTAATAGCCTTGTTATCAGTCAGAGAACATTGTAAATTTGATTATGGCAAATACATCTAGGTTAAAATGTAATATCTTAGCATTTTATCTCCCTTTTGATCCATTTAAAGAGTTGTCTCAGTTTAAAAATAAAAGTGAAGGGGAAATACATGTGAATTAAGCTCCCAGTGGATTCCCTCTGACCACAGACCAGGAATGTAAATAATCTTCTCTCCGCAGAGCACACTGGAAAGTGGATTATTGCAGATGCAGTTAGGTTAAACTTTAACACTTTTTATCATTTGATTTCCTTTTTGACTCATTTTAAATCTGTTCTAGTTTTTAATAAGCTCTATTTTCTTTTTGATTGAGGTTTTCCTGTTTTAACGGTGTTTTTTTTTGTTTTATGTTTTTAAACCACCACACCCAAATGGATTTCTTTGCCGTGAAATCAACAGACCTAGCTGATCCCTGTGAAAGTTACCATGTTGAACGAGACGGAGAAAACTTGTCTGCAGCCATCCATTGATTAGAGACATATTTAAACTCATTGTGTTTGGAATAAACCCATGCATCTATGAACTCGTACCACAGTAGTAATCTTTCTACTTGTCTTGGTTCAAAACCACTAGCGACTCCAAAGGAGAAAGACCTGGTTTTCAACTCTCTTAAAGAGTTACATTCTCGTGAGCTCCCATCCCTTTCTATGCCTGTGTACTCGTTCCGGTATCGTCTGAATTGAAAAGCAGCACTTGGGTCATGGTAGTGGCGGGAGAGTATACCTCAAGGAGTGGGAATAGTGATGCAGGAAGGGTAGGGGGAAGACGGGGAGAGAAAGGGAGAAAGGAGGAGCCGATTGCAATGACTGACACATAACTATACACCCCTTTCCAGGGGGAAGAACAAGAGGAAACATGGGGGAAGGGCGACAGCGTTTGGTGTGAGAGATGAAAATAATAACAATATACAATCTATCAGACGGTTATGAGGGTGGGGGGAGGAAAAAAAAGCTGATACCAAGGGCTCAACAGAAAGTAAATGTCTAGAAAAGAACGAAGGCAACATATGTACAACATGCTGGATTCAATTGATGCATGGATTGTGATAAGAGTTGTACAAACTCCCAATAAAATGATTAAAAAAAAACTAGTCTCAAATTCACAGGGGCAGTTCCCTATGAGTTGACATTGGCTTATTTACTAATCTGCAGTGAACAATTCCACGTTTTACCACATCTTTGATGTGATCAAAAATTAAACTTTTCACGACAGTAAACAAAGTGAGACCATGTTTATCTTGAATATGAGTAACCCAACACAATAAATAAACCAACTGAACTCACTGCCATCGTCCATTCTGATTCGTATCAACCCTACAGGACAAAGGAGACCGGGCCTGTAGAAGTTCCAGGGCTACAGATGGGACTGAACAGCTGATCTTTAGGTCGGAAATCAAACTACTAGCCACAGCGCCCCCAGGGTTCCATGAGTGATTGTTGCCATGTTTTTGCTTATCTTTAAGAGTTACAAAATGGTGATTATTTAATTCTATCATCTTTACTGCTTTAGCTGGAAATAGTTTATATATTATATATAATATATATATATTATATATAATATATTATATATATATATTCCTTCATCAATTATGTGGATACCTTGATATACAATTCAAACAGTAAGGTTGGGGGGGGAAAAGCTCATTTCTTCTACTTAATCTACTTGCGGCATACGTTGCTTCTAATAATGAGCTGTAAGGCTCACCCCAAGCCACCCCACATTCCTCTAGTCTCCAGGTGGTTTCACTTCCAAAGCTAATACGGGGCTGGGGAAGGGGTGGTGTTGGTGTCCGGGTAGGAGGGGGCCAGGTCATGGAAGGGAAAATACCTCAAGCAAGCTCTAGGCAGTGGAATTCGAGTCTTCTGAGCGATCCTGGCCTTCGGGGCTCTCCGGGTCCTCGCTGATTTCCTTGCTGTCACTCTCACTACCCACGGCCACTGGGTCCTTCTCCTGACATCCCACTTTGGAACCTGGCTGTGCGTGGCCCTTGGTCATCACGTCACTGTCCCTGCAGCCCAGCACCACGCTCTGGCCTTTCTTCAGCTCCAGCTGCCGCCTCAGCTCATCTGCCATTTGCGACAGATCTCGTTTCATAGCGAAAGCATCTTCCCCATCTGCATAGTATTTGGGTTCCACCTCACTGAGCTGAAAATTGAGGGTGTTTGAGTAGAGGTGTAGGGCGGCCCGGTTACTCTTCCGGACATGCAGGGACACATACTTGGCACTGAAGTTCTCGATCATGGCCCTGGAGGCCTGATCCATCAGCTTCTGGGCCAGGCCGAGGCGCCGGTGCGAACGTTTCACCGCCAGTGAGGTGATATGCCCGTGGGACACATCATCTGGGTCCTCCTCCATTTTGGCCAGAACATACCCCACAATCTTGCCATCCTCGTCCTCGGCAATGTAGGAAAGCTGGGGCCAGGAGAGGCCGTGGTAGAAATAGTATTTCATCTGGTAGTTCTCAGGAAGGCAGAGGAGGTTGCAGTGCTGCACGTTCATCAGGTCTTCCGGCCGGGCTTTGCGGATGTTCATGATGGCGGCCAGGAAGGAGCTGGTCGGGCTGCGGGGAAACTGCAGAGGAAACTGGCTATGGCCAAGTAGAAGGATGCTGTGCCTACAAGACGAGTCCAGGATGAAGACTCGTGGAGCGCTGAACCGTGCGCTACCTTGCTGGCCCGGAAGTGGGTTGGCAGGAAGTCGGGATGTCCTAGAGGCGGAAGAGGCGGGGCTAAGATGTTGCTTCTGGAACTGCGCAGAGGGATCCCAACCAATGAGGTCTGGACCTTATTGTGTGGGTGCGCATGCTCATCCGTTGGAGGGCCAGGAGGAGACGAGGACGAGGTTTTATGATGTCATGGGTTTTAAATAAAGCGTTTGATCGAATGCTGTCATTTTGTCTTCATTTGTTTTAATTTTAATTTGGGTACATCTGAGCAATTTTTTTTTCCTTTCGAAAATAAGCATGCAGGCAAGAACCGCACATCAGCAGCACCTTGGAAGTAACTTAGTGTCTCCTTTCAGTGGACCCCTTAACCAAGAGTAACTCTCACCTAGACTTAGAATAATTTTTATGCCATGGAATCATGGTGCATGCACTTTTTGTGTGTATAGCAGCATTTGTGAATTGCAGCTACTTTATGCATGATGCCATCATGTAAGCTGACTGCTAATCACAAAGTGTATGGTTCAAACCCACAGGTCCACTGAGGTAGAATGAGGCTGTCCTGTTAAGATTTCAGAAATCCTATAAAGGGTTGCTATGAGCCTGAATTGAATGATAGCAGTGGTTATCCAATACTCATTTCTAAGGAGCACCTTAAAAAGACCTTTTGCAGCAAATTTGTCCAATATAACACATTACTTGATTTTTTTTCAATATTGATCCCCATGAACATTAATTGTAGACACATAAAATGAAATCCTTTGTAACTTACCTTTTCTCCATATAGCATAACGTTGCCTATCAATCTGACTGTGAAGATGCTTGCTTCCTTTATGTTGTGATGTAATCCATGCTGAAGGCTGTAGTATTTGATGCTCATCAGTAAGTACTTCAAGTCCTGTTGGATTTCAGCAGACAAGGTTTTACCATCTGCATGCTGCAGGTTGTTAACGGGCTTATTTACGTAGTCCAGAGCCTTCGCTTACTTACTCCGCATAGAGATCGAAGGATGCAATCCTGACGCACGAACCTTTTCTGTTATAGATCTCACCAAAGCCCTTTATTCTGTTCAAACAACTACCTGCTGGTCTGTACAGATTCAAAAGGAATACAATGAAAAATTATGGAATTCCCATTCTTCCCAATATTATTAATAATTTTTAGAATTCTCACATTTAGACGCCTTTACATAGCAGAGAGAAAAAAAACCCCTAAGTAAACATCCTTTAAGTATTCCCCACTTTCAGTCAAGATCCGCCTGACATCAACAGTGATGTACCTCCTTACAAATCCTCTTCATATCATCCTTATTTTCTGGCAGTTTCCCGTTGATGGACTCCTGCAATCATTTTCAGTTATTGTCAGAAAATTTTTACATGCATGTTATGTCAATGATACTGCTCAATTATTTATAAATTCTGTTGAATCCTAGTCCCATGTAATAGACTCAAATATGAATCTATTCTAGCTGGTTGGACAGGCAGTAGGCTTCCAAATTTCTTGGCATAGAGGAGAGAGGACTAAGTACCTCTAGTCTGTATTGGTTTGTGGACACATCCCAATTGGTAGTTCATGGTTTCCTGTCTTTTTGTGGTTTGCCAATGCTTTTTCTGCAGTGTAGACTTCTTCCTTGAATACTATTTGTTATTGATCATATATTACCTCCTAAATAGTTGAATGTCAAGGAATTACTTTTGGTACATTGGCTCTATGTATTTCTTCCATCTTCTTTTGATTCTGCCTCTTTTCCCATACTGCTATTGGGTTGATCCAGCTCTTCCAAACTCACAAAACCCAAATTTACTGTTATGATTTTTATTTCAACTCATAGTGTTTCTATAAGGACAAGGTAGAACTTGTGCTTCCCAAACTGTAACTCTTTACAGGGGTAGAAAGCCCCATCTGTCATCTCCTGTGTAGCAATAGATGGTTTTAAACTGCCAACCTTGTGGCTAGCAGCCAAATGCATAAACCACTATGCCACCAGAAATCTTCAATCTGACTCATAGTGTCCCTATATACAGTTTTGGAAGCTGTAAAATTTTAAGGGAGAAAATAGCCTCATCTTTCTTCTGTGGATGGGTTTGAACCACCAACCTTGTGATTAGCAGCCCAATATTGCACATAAAATTTTCTAGTATTGAGATATAGTGGATTAGTAATATGATCCTTTGAGCACTGGTGGTGTAGTGGTTATGCATTGGGCTGTGATCTGCAAGGTTGGCACTTTAAAACCACCAGCATCTCCACAGGAGAAAGACAGGACTTTCTACTCCAGTAAAATGTTACAATGTCGGAAACTCACAGAGGCAGTTCTAAGCTGCCCAGTAGGGTTGCTCTAAGTCACTATTGACTCCATGGCAGTGAGTGGGAGCTATATTCTAAGGAGTCCTGGTGGTGTAATGGTTACATGTTGGGCTAACATCCTCAAGTTCAACAGTTTGAAACCACCAGACATTCCCCTGGAGAAAGGTAGGGTTTTTGACTCCTCTCAACAGTCTCAGAAACTCACGGGCAGTTTACCTGAGCGGATAGGGTTGCTATCAATGAGCCTTGACTTGATGACAGTGGGCTTGATTTTCAGTGAGCCATATTCTAGTGTGCCATAATCCATTTTGTGATGTAGTTTCTGGCCTCTGTGCTTGAGGTTATGATCCCTTTTGGAGGATTTTAGAGGGAGTTGTATGTCACAGGATTAGTGTGGGATGCATCTTAGCCCTACTTTACCAGAGGGTGTTAATGAAGTCATCATCCTTTGTTTCCACTGGGGATTGTTGCCATCAGGATCAGAGGAAAGCCTGAGATATGCAGATGACACAACCTTGCTTGCTGAAATCAAGAAGTGGTTAGGCACTGGGCTTAGATCCACACAGTCTACAGTTCAAAATCTTCAGCTGTTCCATGGGAGAAAGATGGGATTTTGCTCCTAGAAAGAGTTACATCTCAGAAACTCATTGGGACAGTTCTACCCTGTTCTAACAGGTGGCTATGAGTTGGCATCAACTAAATGGATGAGAGTTTGTTGTTATTTGTTTGTTTATTTCTATAGTGGAGTTCCTTTATATTCTAAAAGCATGGTGTTGCCATCAGTCAGAATTGATTTGATGGCGAATAGTTTGGCTTGGTTTCATTTCATTTATAGACTTACTTTAGATGTTTTGGAGAAAGACAGTGTGTTCTACTCTCATAAACAGCTAAAGTCTCAGAAATTCATGGAGAAGTTCTACCCTGTTCTATAGGATTGATGTGAGTCAGCATCAACTCCATGGTAGGGAGTCGAGTTTTAGATGCGTGAGATTTCTATGAACTCGACTCTTAGGGATCCCATAGAACAGAGTAGAACTGCTCCATCGAGTTCCCAATGCTTGAAACCCTACAGAAGCACACTGCCATATCTTTCTGCTGCAGAGGTGGTTGTGAATGGAAACTGCCAAACTTTCAGTTAACATCTGAATTTTAGTAGTTCTGGTGCCACCATGGTTAGAGCATTCAGCTACTAACCAAAAAGCTAGTAGTTCAAATCCACCAGTCATCCTGTGGGAGAATAATGTGGCAGTCAGCTTCCATAAAGATTCCAATATAAACCCATTGTGATTCAATTCTTATTCCTGGTGACCTTCTACAGCATTTTGATAGTGTACATCATTATATGGGTAGATAGACTCATCTTTCTCCAGTAGAGTGGCTGATTGAATTGAAAGACTATGTCTATAGCCCAACAGCTAACCCACCAAGGCTCTTTTGAAAAGATACAGCCTAGACAATTCTCTGGGCAGTTTTACTCTGTCCTTTAGAGTTTCTATGAATGGAAATCTACTCATCCACCATGGGTTTGGTTTGTTTGAACTAACCTAAGTTATGGCAGCTTAATCCAACCCCGATGCCTCATTAATAAGATAAAGGTTACAGTTCGGAACACTTGATGTGGCAGTTGTGTTCTGTCATTGGTAAGAAGCCATGAGTCAAACTCTACCCAACAGCAGTGGGTTTTTGTGTTTTGTTTTGGACAGACTGTTTTTGGAGTCCTTGTGAGTTCAAAGCTTTCAAGCATTTAACTGGAGTTCAATAAGAACCACCTTAGAGAAAGGCCTGGTGATACACATCCAAAACCAAAAACAGAACAGGCACTGAATATCCTGCCAAGTACATTTCTACTCTGACACAGCAGTATGTGGGGTTGCCATGACAACTTAACTTGACAACCACTAGAATGGTGGTTTCTTCACCACTGGACTTGCAACATGTATTTCCTTGACATTATTAAAGGAAAAATTTATTCAAAATGTCGTGAGAATTTTTAAAAATTATTTTATTGAGGGCTCGTACAATTCTCATCACAGTCCATACATACAGCCAGTGAGTCAAGCACATATGTGCACCTGTTGTCCTCAGCAATCTCAAAACATTTGCTCTCTACTTTAGCCCTCAATATTGTTTGCTCATTTCCCCCTTCCCTCCTCCCTCCCCCTCCCACCTGTACCCTTCACAATTCATAAATTATTATATTTTTGTCATAAGTTATTTTTTAATAGTATGTTTTAATCAATATCCCACAAGTCATTACATTAGCTTTAATACAAAAATATGCTTTTGCATGCTGAAAAAAAAAGTACACTTTCTTAAAGACAATTATTTGAGGAACTTTTCTTCATGCGCATGAAATAAACTTGAAACTTACAAGTGACCCTTACAGTGAACCCAAACTTCCCTTTCTGATTTTATGGGGTTATCTATAATCTTATACAGGCTTGGCAAATCGAGCAGGTATGATAAAATGAAACACTTCAGAAGACTGCAATGCCTATCAACAATTTATCTGCCATTTGCACTGCCAGCTCTTGCTGCCTTGACTTATTCAACGTGACATCGA